AGAGAGTTGCTAGTATTTGTATCAAGTAGAGTATTGTTTTAATTGAGATTATAATTAACTTGATCTGCAAATTCTTCCCAGGTTTCTTTGTTCATAGAGCTATAATCAAAGATCCTTCTATTTGCTGTAAATTTTTGTTTGTAGTTTGTGTTAGTATAGAGGAATAACCATGAAGATACAAATATCATATGATCACTTTGTGTAGATGTTAATAGATCTTCTAAACTAAATTTTTGAAGATATGGTATTATAGATTCATAGCATCATATGTAGTCAATTCTAGTTTGTGATTGGTTATTATGCCATGTATAGGATGTATTAGATGTGTAGTTGGCAAGATCATATAAATTGTTGCTTGAAAGGAAGTTAACGAGTCTGGATTTTGAACTTGCTGAGTTTGTTGTAGAGATATCTACATTAAAGTCATCAAGAACTATTGGATATAGTTGTTGACTAAGTGCTTGTTGTATTCATTAGTTGACTTTAGTTTGTATTGAATTTCTATGTGATATATCAGTAGAAGAAAGATATACTGAAATTATTCTAAATTTAAAATCATGTTTGAAGAAAAGATCAATAGAAATTGCTCCTCCTTCATGTTTAAGAATTTTGTGAATATGTGGTGTCAGATTATTTGAGATAATAATTCCAGTTCCTTCTACTGAAGAAGTAGAATTTGATAGATAGTATGTGAAGTATTTAGTATTGAAATATTTTGATTTGGAGTTGATGAGTTTAGTTTCCATTAAACTAATAATATTATAGTTATGAGAAAAACAAAATTCTTCCCATAGTTATTTTTTAAGAGAGTTGTTGTATCTCCTAACATTATGAGTTATAATGTTAAGAGAGAGTGAGTTGTTAGTATTGTTAGTATTAGTATTAGTCATTGTTTGTGAATTAGTATTATTTGAAATGTTTGTTGGTAGATTAGTAATATTTAAGTTATCATTAGATTTGTAAAAGTTCTAAGAAAAGTATTATAGTATTGGAAGAGGGTGAAGAGATTAAGTGGTGTATAATCTGGAAGAATATTGTCATTACAAGGAAGATATATATGAGCTTCATTGAGTTGTTTGTTGATGGAAAATCTTGTAGGTTTAGTAAATTTTTTCTCTTTTAGGTGTTTTATAAATGATCCAATAGTTTGATCAGTTTTTAGTGAATCCATATTATAAAATTTTAGGAATGTGTTATAGCAAGTTAGTGCTTCAAAGGGTTCTAAAGATGTTGGAATTGAAAGCACTAGAAGGTTTTCTATATATGTGCTCGCCGTATGCTCAGTTTTCACAGCTATGCTAAACTCAAAAGTCTGCTCTGTGCATTGAGTCTGACCGTCATTTATTTGAGTTGCCACGTATAAAATCTATATTTATCTAGACAATCTTTTTATAATTCAAATACTAAAAAATTATTTATTTTATAACTACTTTACACAACTAAAAAAAATAACTAGAATACTATTCATATATTAAACTTTCTTATAAAAAAGAAAAATATCTAATATACTACTCATAAAACAAAATTATATTTCAAAAACTTCTTCTAAAATATTACTGACTCTCTTGTAAATTAAGATACTAATAAGACAAAAATTTAACTAAATACTAACTACTTCTCTTTATCTATATTCTTTATATAAAACCAAATATCTATTATATTCAAAATACAAAAATTCTGTATAAATATTCTTTCAATTCAAATACTTAACAAAATTATACAATTCAAAATACTTCAAAATATACAACCTTTTAATATTCTTCAACTTATTAATATAATAAACTCTCAAAATAACAATCTAAAACTCTACTTACTTAGAAATAAAATACTTTTTAACAACTTTCTAACTATAGCAAATTTAAATATCTGCTATTCAAATCTATACTTTATATCTAATTACTCTTTTTGTAACTAATATAAAAATACAGAACTCTTTTGTATATTATACTTAATTAACTTATATAATATATTACTACAATATATAATTGAATATTTATAAATACTAAATATAATAAATATACCTCTTTAAATAATTCTTTAAATTTTTACTTCAGGTTACAATACTTAAAACTTCACAAATTTCTTATTCTTTTTAATTCAAAGAACTATTTTAACAACTTGCTTTAAACAAACCAACTTACTACTAAAAAAGTTAACTAATAATTTCTTTATCTAACTTTCAAACTCTCTACTTCTCTAGTTTAACAACAAAATTTAAAAAAACAGAAATCAAAAATAATATAAATAGAAATCTACTTGTAGTATTTTAAAAAAGATTAAAAAATATACAAAAATTATTTACTCTTTACAAATTCCAAATATTATAAATAATAATACTTTTTATAATCATCATATAGATATTTATATCCAAAAATTATTATTTCAAAACTTCTCTATATATAACTGTTCTTTTTTAACTTTATTTTATTTAACCTCAGAGGTTTTCTTTAACTTTCTTTACAGCAAATAGTAACTTAGATTTAAATTAGCTAACAAATAAAAAATAGAAGTATAATATTATATTAGATGACTAACTAGTATTAGTAATAACAATATATTTTAAGAATATATATTAGCTTTACATATATATTATTATGATATATAAATGTACTAATCTCATTTTTATTTTAATATTATTAATAAATAAATAAAAAAAACCAAAATTTTGATTTTAATTAGAATTAAAGAAAAATTTTTCTTTGAAAACATATAAAATTTTAAGAAATTTTAAAAAATTTTAATTGTAAATTTAAAAAAAAATTAAATATCTTTATTAAAATTAAAATAAAGTAATAAAATTTTAAAATAATATTTAAAAAGTAAAATATTTTAATGTTAGTTAGTAAATAAAAAGAATAAGTTTAAAAAACTTTTTAAAAATTATTTTAATAAGCAAATTTGTCTACTTAATAGTTTAAAAGATAATATATACTATAAAATAAAATAAATTTCTCAAAATTAATTAAAAAATTTATCAAATTAAATATATTATAAGTAAATATAAAATATTAATAGATTTAGAAATAATTTAAGTTGATTTTAAATTTTAATAAAACTTAAGTAATTATAACAAATAATTAAAGTAATTATATATTTTAATTTTATATTTTACAAATATTTTTAAGGGATTTAATTTGTAATACTATGACACTATAGTACTAGAGTAATATAGCCAATTAAAACAAAAGATCAGATATAATATAAAATTTTTGCAATTTTAAAGAAGTAAAAAATAACTTAAAATTTTATATATAAAACTGCTTTTGGTATCCTAATTAAAAAAATTTCTTGCTAAATCTTGATATAAAATCTCTACACTATTGCTCTAACCCTAACTCTAATTTAACTATATCTTTAACTCTAAAGCAATAAATAAAATAGATTGTTTTGATTTTAGGTTATATTTAATCTTATAATTATATATAGAGTAGGTCTATAATACTATAGCACTATAAAAATATTCTCTATTTTTAATTAAAAATATTAACACAAGATTAGAAAACTATTATTTCACAACTTATAATTGCAGTACTTTATGAACTAGTAATATAAGCTTAAGTACTTAAAAAATCTATATTGATTAAAATTCTTTTTAGCTTTATAAATTAAAAACTGAAACTAATACAAATACTGTATATAAATTATTATATTATAGAAAATAAAACTAAATTAGATATAATACATACAGTACATTCTTTAAGTTATATTATATAAAGTTTATTTTAATTTAAAAAATTATATTTTTTTTAAAAAAAAACAATTGTTTATTTAATTAAAATGATTTTTATTTTTGGTGTTAGTATTAAGCATACGCCTAGTGTATAATGATCATTAACATTTTTTTCGTACCGTATGTTCAAGATTGAAAGCTTGAAGTTCGTTATTAGAAGGTTCTTTGATTCTGTGGATAAACATATTGTATATAGATAATTTATTTATAAGCATATGTAATTTGTTAGTCGTTTGTATTTTTAAGATAAAGTTTTATATCTCATTTAAATTATTATATTTCATAGCGCACTTATTTTTAGAAGATAGTTTATTAAATGACGATGTATTTTTTTTTTTTTTTTTTAGATAAACTACTCAATATATAACTTACAGTATTTAAATTTTATATTAAAAATTTATTTCAATTCTTAGTATTACAATTTATATCATTTACTGATAATATTTCAAATTTTAACAATTACGTAAATAGAAAATTACTACGAATAACCACTGGTGATCATCACCAGTATATAAAATAAAAAATCCCATTTCATTTACTTTAGGGTTAGGACGAGGCCTAGGATTTTATCTAGGCACAGTATATGCAATGAATTTTTTTTTTTGATAGATCACCAGTGGCAAACTCTCTTAATTTAATTGAATAATTTTACAAAGATTGTCAACAATAAAAAAAAAAAAAAAACTTATTTTATAACGATATAAAAAATTAACATTGTTTTATACATTTTCTTTTCAAGCTATTTAAAAGTACTTTCTATTATTAATTAACAAAGGTCAGAGATATATATCTTTAAAATTTCCTTGATGCATACTAATTAATATTGAATACTTGAATATAAGTAAAACAAAAAAAAAATGTAAAAGTTAATAGTTTTTATAAAATCAATTTAGAATTTTTTAGAACCAATTAATTCCCCAGAATTTTTGACAAGGAAATTTGGATTAACTTTATCGTGTAAGAATGTATAAACTTCAATATTTGAAACTCCAGCTTCTTTTGCAGTAACACCTTTTCCATCTAACATAACAGGAACTAAGGTTATATCTTTATCAACATTAAAAATAGCGGTTGAATTTAACTCTCCTGTTATAGGATTAGTTTCTTCAGAATATTCATGAGTTACATTTCTTATACCCAATCTTTCCATAGCAGCTGTAATATCAACACTTCCTACGATATAAGAAGTACTATTGGCTTGGAAATTATTTATACTATTCCACATAGCAATAAGACCAGCAAAATGAGGTGATGTTACTGGAGTTTTTGCATCTGCATTATATAAATCAACAAAAACTCTAATATAATATGGTCCAATTAATTTACCCATAGCAATTGTAACTTTAACGAAAAATCGACGTCCAAAATGAGGATCAGGTTTATAAAGTTCAAAAAGATAATTATGTAATTCTTTAGGATCTTTTCCTTTAAATTTTTGTAATTCAGGATAAGTATAACCAAGTTTTTCTATGTCTCTAACGTCTGCAGAATTCCAAAATTCTGTCTCTGATTTACGAAATGGTGTAAGATCCCAAAATTCATCAACTGTTGAATACATTTCATCTGTGAAAGTTCCATTTATAGCAACATTTTTAGGAACCCAGGAGTTAGGATATCTATATATAATATAATAAAAAAAAAAATTTTTTTTTATAATTGATTATTATGTAAATTAAATAGGAAACCCTTATTTCACACAAATCAATTCAAGAAAATTATATTTTATAAACAAATTAATTAAACAAGAAGATTATTCTACAGACAGGTTTATATAAAATTGTCTATAAGAAATATAATTTTCTTTGATTAAAAATGTTTACTAAGTGGTTTTCTGTGAAATAAAACGAATCCATTAAAATTTTTCATTAAAATTTCTTATTATAATACTAACACTGCTTGCCATAATGCAAGAAACCGATCCACATTAGCGTGGTGAAAGTAGAATAGAGGGTCAAATGTAGTAAGATCTACATAAGCCATATGACCACCAAGACCACCAGATATTAAATGAAAGCCATCGTGGGGTGTTTCAACAGAAGCAAAATGAGCAAAACCAGCAGTATCTGTAGGAGTTGGATGACCAGAAAATGAATCTGGCAGTTGCCTATCATCTGATGTTACGGCATGATTGCTAAAATGTAGGTAATCATCAACTTGAAACATTTGGTAGATACTTGGTTTGAATACACTATTAACATAAATCGACATATTGAAGTTTAAAAGATCGTACTGGTCTTCATAGTTAGGATTAGGGTATCTAACAGTTGGATACCCCTTGGGCGTGAATGGATTATATGTCGTATTTGGGACTATGTAGTGTGGTTTGTCGTTTGGATTATGACCTTTTGCGAGCGGTTGTGAAAGATCAACAGGGAGGGTGTAGCTTTTTAATGGATTTTTAATTTTATTTTTGCCTGTGGGAGTGTTTATTTCGAGTTCAGATTTATAGAAATATTCTGGAAGACCATTAACAGCCTTTTCACCAGCCCAATCAAAGTAAGGATGTCGGAGCTTTTTAGCTGCTTTAACGTATTTTTCCTTTTCATTGGAAGGATATTTTTCGGCGATTAACTTGGCCTCCTCAATTATCAACGCTTCAATTAACATGACATATGGACGGTGCCATGAAGGAAATAAAACATCACCATGATGACAATATCCACCAAAACGACCGTGAGACCATTCTGATGGTTTGTATGTATTATGACTAGTTACTCCGTCATATGCAGTGTAAGGCAAACCGTGAATACCACTAACTTGATAAAAAGATTTCATATCCTCGTAAGAACGATCCTGAATCGCCCGATAACCTTGAATAAACAGGTCAAATTGATACGTATCATCATAGAAATCCCAAGCATCCAAACGAGGTTCAACCTCTTCATATGGAGTGAGCACAATTTTTCCATTATAAGTTGACACACCGCTAGCATAAGAAACAGATGCTACATCACTAACGTGAGAAATTTGAGAAGAAGGACCTGCTCCCATATTATTATCTTTATAATATTTTTTGGGATAAGTTTTTTGAAGTATCGTTATGAGAAAAATAGTTACCTTTATACTGTTTGCTAATGAAGCAAAAAAGTTTTTTTTTTTTTTATTAATAATTTTCCCAACTTGAAATTCTTTGAAAGTTGTATTATTCCTTATCTAGAAAATTTATAGATTATTTTAATAAACGCATAAACATATATTTATTTAGAAAATCTGGATTATAATGTTATTAAAAAATATGAGGAGGGTTTGTGCATTTGTTACTAACGGAAAATCCCGCTTAATTTTTATTTTCAATTGAATTATTGTGAAAAGAAAATACCTCAAGTGCATTATTTATTATTAAAAATAGCTATATGTTTAATTTTTTTCATGCATATGCATTATTAAATGAAGATGTTAATAGTAAATTATTAGCAATAAACTTGCGAGTTTTAGTTAGTTAATAATATTAATAATTTTGATAATTGTTAAAAATTACTACGTACGTATGCAAGGGTATAATAATAATTGCAGATTAATGTAACGGTAATTGTAATCGTATGTAAAACAAAAATAAACCGGTAATAAATATTTTAACTTTCAAAGTTCACTGAAAAGTTCGTTAAAAATTTTTAAATTTATTATATTTGAATGTTACCTTAAGTAATGGTTTGGTGAAGGGAAAGATTAATAGCTCTCATTATTTAGTTCTATGTGATAAGATTAATAAAAAAATATCGATTCAAAATTCACAAAATAACAACTTATTTAGCTCAAATAGATAATAATAATAATAATATGAATATAACAATAAAATAGAAAAATGAACTTACTTCGTTTTTATCTATCATATTAAAGTCATACTAATCGGTGTAAAAACTATTATTACATATTTGTGATCCGATTTTTAACCAATGCAGTGAAATTATTTTATATTTATAAAATTTTTTTTTCGAGTAAATATATTTTCTCTTTTCTATTTCACTTGATATAATGTTAAAGATTGATTACTATATGCAGGAGGCATGCTAACAAGAAAATTTTTCGATGTAAAAAGAAAAATTAAAAACAAAATATGAATTCAGGATTACACCTTTTTGCATACATTTTAGATAATACGGTATGCATAAGAATGTGCAATATTTATTCGACATTTTTTATAATTCATAAGAACGTGCAATATTTATTCGACATTTTTTATAATTATCTGGAGATTAATAGATTTTATTGTAAAAAAATAGATTATGATTCTAATTAACGTCATACTATGACAGAAATCGGAATGAGTCTTATTTCATATAATGGGTGAGGTGATGTAATAATTAAAATTTTATTTAAATTAATTCTTTATATTTGGGTTATGATATTGGTGGTAAAGTTCTAACAATTTCTTGTTTGACACGCTAAACCATTTATTAGTCAAAAAAATCATTGATTCTGCACTTTTCGTCATTTTCAAAATTATATCTAATTTAAGAGAATCGACTAATAATACAACATTAAAATCCTATTATCCTTGCATTACTAGTTAATAATTATAGCAACAAAGACATTAACAATCAAATTCTTTGTTTTAGTTCATCGAGGGAGGTGTCTTGAGCCTATTTAGTTTTAATAAATCTAATCACGATAAATTAACACTACCTATAAGTAATACAAAATTTTGGTCATTAAATAATTAATGAGAATAACTACAATTAACCGGAGGGGAAATCACCAGTTTAAAATAAACAAAACTCCTTTCTTTTACTTTAGGGTTAGGGCGCGGCCTGGGAATTTGTCTAGGCATTAGTATATGCAAAATTTCGCAAGGAATTTTTTTTTTTTGTTAGAACCCAAAAGGTATTTTTTTAAAAATTTCTCGTTACACACACCTGATCCTGAAAATTTATTGGCTAATATAATACAGGGAAAGTCACCCGGTTAAAATTAGCAATTCTCATACATTATTATTCACTTTGGATAACTTGTTTATGGAGCTTATTTCTTGCGCTTACAATTACACCTAAGTGATCGCTGTAATCTGTCTCTTTGCCTTTTACAGCCTTCCTGCAACTCATCGACCCGTCTCGACAACCTCTTAACTTCAGTTGAGGCTTCCTTCTTAAATTAATAATAATAATTTCTAATATTAAATTGTATTTATTATATATATATATATATATCTGTTTTGATTATGCTCACGAAGCCTTTTCTGCTGCAATTTGTTCCTTTCTATTAACATACAATATAGAGCCTTTTCTTCCGCAATCTGCTCCTTGCTATTAACATACAATACAGTACATGCATGTTAGTATAATATTATTACGTATTATATTATTTTTACTATTTTATGTTATTTTACCTTCTTCTTCCTCTTCATTTGCTGGGGATTATTATTGTCAAAGATAAGCTTATGTTTAAGAAAAACGTAGAAATTATCAGTTTAAATAAAAGCTTAAAAGTTTTACTTCAGGAAAAAAGTAGTAAAACTTAATATAAAGATGATGACCACCAATACCTAATCTATTAAATAATCCTGCTTGGATTCATTTTCGAAAAGTATACGCTGAAAAGACAACTACATTCCTTGACAATTGTAAACCGTTTACAAAAAACTGAAAGTCAATATTTATTTTTTAAACATTAAAGTAACTATTTGTACTTATCGCGCGCTTTTTGACGTAGTCATTTCCTCAAGCACAAATTCTTTCACAATAAGACTCGTTAATTTTGCAACTCTTGTATTTAAAAATCAAATTATTTTTTACCTATTGTATCGAATTAAATTTCTTACTTTAAAATTTTTAGTATAATTATAAACAATCTAAACTAAATTAGTATCGTAATTGCCATTTATATGGAGCGGTGTGAATTAATGATAAGATAGCATGTTCTAGAAAGAATGCGCGTGATTTTTAATATGTTCCCTAATTCAGGCCAGCTAGCTCGTATTAACAAAATTTTAAGTAATCTCTATCCCGTGCATCACGCGCGTAAGCCGCATACTGCGCGGGATATTTGCGATTTGCCATCACTACTTACAGGGGTAAATCATGTGATATACTTCTTACGTACTGTATTAAGACAAATTGATCATATGTGGGATAATATTTACATACCATCTTATATAAGAATCTTTATACAGTATTTCATATTACTATACTTTGTTAACGACATACTGAACTGCTTGAATTTTATTTGCACAATTACATTAAATTAAGAAGCAATATAAAGGGAGTTTTTGGATCAACGATAAATTATTAATTAATTGATGTCATATATGGCGAAATAACAATGATAACCTACTACTGTTAATCTAAACGACCATAACAACATTAATTTGCTTAATACTAATTTTTGAGCATGTAATACTGCAAGCAATTTAAAATGAATTTTAATCCTTGTCATGAAGTTAAAAAAATAAATTAAAAAATGAATTTCAATTTCTGTCAAAGAATTCTTATGGTACTTCAAATTTGTTCAACAAATATTAAGCGTAAAATAAATTATAATAAACAGTCCGTAAGAAATAGAAATAAATTAATAAAAATAAAGATGGCTTAGATAAATACCTTTTTCCTATGCTACTGCGATTCTTAAAGGGTAAATTTTTAAAAATATAAACTTTTTGTATAAATCGCTATAATTTTCTACATCCTACGCAGGGTTGGCAATGGACTATGATAGGCTCTAAAAAAAATTTCAATGTACATTTCCATTGGCCTAAGCCACATTTTTGATCCTGATCCACTGTACTACACGCTTGATGATTGTGCCTCAGATAAATACTTGCTGAGATTAAAACCATTAAGCCAGCATTAAATGATCTGCAATAATAATAATAGCAAATCCCTATCCCTAATTCAGTTTTTAATATGTCACAAGTATTAATCTGAGGCATGACATACTGTATATAAAGGGAAAACAATTTTATTATTTTAGGGTTATTACTCTTAAAAATCTGGTCAATGTCATATAATGGAAGGCCTAAATATTATATTGACACCAAAATAAAAATAAAAATAGATAAAGAAAAAAAACATAATAAAACCTACGGTATCTGAAATTTATTTTTATTATCGTTATCATTATATGTAGGGATGAGAATCGATTCTCCGATAATCGATTTAATCGTTAATCGAATTAGAATCGATTCTCATTTTTGTGTAATCGTTTTATTGCGCTTTGCAAAAAGGTGTGACCTTGCAGATCATGATGTCATGCGAAAATCACCGGAAATTAGATAATTTTCAGAATTTTACAGATTTTAGACAATACTGTGAGGTCCAAATAACGTGATCCGGATAAGCTGCGGATTGATCACGTTTGCCGCGGATATGCAGATCGGTTGCCAAATATAGACATCCCGGCAATTAATTCAATTAATTGAATTAATCTCATTTTTTAAATATATCGCGAAAGGGGAATTTAATGGAAAAAGGGGGGTTTAGTGATTAAAATAGTTTGAATTAATAAATTAGAAAAATTTAATAAAATAAATAAAATGTAAAAGCGAAATTTATTTAGAAAAAGAAGTCGTAATTAAAAGTTATTATAAATAAAGGGCCTAATTGCCCCGAGAAAATTAAGTCTAGCTTGCTTCACTAATTAATAAAGTCCTAATTTTATTGAATAATTGCCACTCATAATATTACATTAGCACTGTCTTGCTAACACACTCCTTAAGTTCTAAATAATACTTTGTTGTTCGTTTAACCTGTTGTTCACGTGAGCACAAACCTTCCGGACGCTTGACACCAACTTTGTGACCCAAGTAACCTGAGCCTTAATAGTCCCTCAGCCTGATCTAACACATCTCTTTCGAAAGGTTACTTACCTTTGGTTACGCGAGTTTTTGGTATTGTTGAGCGACCGAGTCGCAGTTTTCCCATATTCACACTATACTTAAAAATAGGACATCGTACTACGTCGAAGCGCAGTATTTCCGGAGGGTCAAATTAGCCTTCTTACAACGTGCAACTACTTAATAAGGCCCTACCGTAACGTGATAAAATGTGTTAGACATATGTTATTATAGATCGGAGGACCAAAAATTTGTTCGGAGGTTTAACTTGAGGCAGACAGACCTGAGTTACTTTTGTGCAGACTTCAATAAGTTAACTGCTATACTTCATTTTTATTTTATTTATTAATTTAATTAATTAAGGGCGTTCTCAAACAGCAACATTGGGATGTTGCTCAATTATTGCAATTAATTGAAGTGTTTATTGACGATTCCTTGTAACGATATGCTGAAAATTTATTGTGCGAAATACAGAGTGCAGCTCTATGAAAAAAAAAAATTGCTGATCGCAAGCACCAGGTTTTTTCGACTTAAATGGAGACGTTTGAGAACGTTCTAAATACAATTTGACAGCATATTTTGAAATTAATTTATTAAAAGTTTATAATTATTAACTATCTAATATTATATTCAATATTGTATTCTATTTATATCAATTATTTTTGTGTCTAACCTGTCCTACCAAAAGTTGAAATATGATAATTTAAGATCTAACAATTTAAACCATTTTGATTCATATAGAATATTTAGAAAGATTATACAAAATCCAATTATCATATACCAAAGTTATTATTACAAATATTATTCTTTCGCTTTATCTCTAGCGCTTCCTTAAATGTACCATATCACTTTTTAAACGTGAGCTCTAATGAGTTTAACTCATTTCTGGTTTGAAAATAAAGTTCCTTATAATCTGTCCACCTCTGAATTTTTACCACCACTCCATTCCTTGTGTCGTGTAAGCTACTTCAACTACTTGAGTTAAAAAAGCTGGAATTTTTGTGTGATAAGAACCTGGAGAATTCTCGTAATCCACTTCTATGATTTCATCCTCTACAATATCATTAACTAAATCATTCTTCTTATCATATAAATCACAATAATCCCAAGAACTTAACCATTTTACTTTATTACATTCAGCTCTTGTCCATGAATTACCATAAGTTATAGGTGAAAATAATGTAAATACGTATATACTTGTGATCAAAATTATTGTGGCAATAATTATTCGATTCGTGGTTGTAAGTCGATCGGTGAGGAAATCAAATCCTATACCGATTAAAAGAATTGCAAAATATAATGAAGGAAAATAATTCTGCAAATGTGGTGATCCAGAAGTTAAAAAAAATGGTATATAATGTAAAAGCCATCCTATGAAAAATATGCTGGACCATGATTCAAAATGTTTTACTTTAGCTAACACCATTAAAAAAAAAAAAAAAAAAAAAAAAAAAAAAAAAAAAAAAAAAAAAAAAATTAATTAAAAAAAAAAAAAGTTTTTTTTAAAAAAAACTTTTTATAAATT